TTGCTGGGTTTTTGCAGGGGGAGTTGTGCCCCCTCCATTTATCTGCCACCTCCATAGAACTTTGACTCTGCCCTGCTGGGGAAGGTGATGGGGCCACGCTCGTGGGTCTGGGCTGCTGCCGCATGGACTCGGTCAGGGCGGTGCCCGCTGGACGCACGGCCCTGCCGCAGGCTCGCTGCCTGCGGGCCCCTCCCTGTGCTGCTTGGGTCCCGTGGTGGGCACTCAGCGCGATCCCGAATCCTGGCTGCTGCGTTGGGCACTTTCCCAGCCCAGGGTCTGGGACGGGGACACTCCTGGCAAACGTGCTTCTGGCTGGCGTCACTGGTGCCCCCTCTCTGCCACGGCCCCGGGGGCTGTGGATGGGGGGGGGTAACTGGGGCTCGAGCCCCATCCCAGCTCGCTCAGGGCTACGAATGTTGGAGAAGGAACTGGGGAGGGGGGATAGTGTCCTGAAGGAGCAGAAATCCTGGCTCGGGGGAGGGAACAGCTGGGGCAGATCCTGCCCCCCCCAGGACCCTGGCAGGGCGTGGGAGCCGGAACCGGAGCCAGCCGGGCGGTTCCCAGCTCTGTCTCTGCCCCTTTATGGGTTTAGCTTTGGACTCTGCTCTTGTCCCGTCTGAGCCTGACTGGTAATTAATTATTAAGCCGCAAGGTGGGGGGAAGAGTTGCCCCTTCTGGTGGCTCCCCCCACGCTCCCCCCCCCCCCGCCCCGCAGCCTGATCCGCTCTTTTCCCCCTAGGCTGTGTGAAGCCCTCCCTGGGCAGCCGGGCCGCATGGCACTGGGGGGCTTCAAGGGCTCCTGGCTGGCCTTCCACGTGGGCATCGTGACCGGCTTCATCAGCACCTTCTACTTGCTCAATGGCCTGCTCTGGCCGCAGCCCCCGGGCCCCGAGAGCCAGACGCCCCACCCTGACGCCTGGGTCGTCCAGCACCCAGCGCTCCTCAGCGCTGGCCACCCGCACCTCTCAGGTGGGCGGGACTGGGGCATGGAGGGATCCCGCAAGAGCCGTGGAGTGCGGTGTCTCTGCAGGGCGTGGGGGCTGGGGATTGATGGTGCAGAGGCTAGGGGAGGGAGTGGGGCAGCCAAGGTGGAGACAGAGGGAATCCTGGCGCCGGGGCAGGGAACTCCTGATGTAGCATCCCCACTGGGTTGTGGGGCTGTACAGAGGGTGCGCTGGGCCCCAAGGCAGGAATCGCCCCCAGGAGGTGGGTGGCAGGGGGAACTGGAGAATGGTCCCGTCCAAGCAGTTTCACGCTAATCTAGATTTATTGCACTTTCAAGTACATGAGAGAGGCCCGGCCTCCCCGCCCACCTCACCTCCCATTGTCCTTGCCCAGTTCAGCGTGTACACCAGGTTGGATGGGCTCCGGGAGGCCCTGGCACCGGTGCCCGCAGCTATGCCAGGGGCCGGCTCAGTCTTGGGGTGATTGGGGAGGTGGGGGCGTCGCCCCTGTGCCCCTAATGCTCTTTCCGCGCCCAGGGGAGGTCAGCACGACTGCGGCCGAGCTGTACAGCAAGGTGCGGATCCTGTGCTGGGTCATGACGGGCCCCAGCAACCTGGAGACCAAGGCCCGGCACGTCCAGGCCACGTGGGCGCGGCACTGCAATGTGGTGCTGTTCATGAGTTCGGTGCAGGACGACGGCTTCCCCGCCGTGGGGCTGGACACTAAGGAAGGCCGGGACCAGCTGTACTGGAAAACTATCCGGGCCTTCCAGTACGTCCACCAGCACCACCTGGAGCAGGCCGACTGGTTCCTCAAGGCGGACGACGACACCTTCGTGGTGCTGGACAACCTGCGCTGGCTGCTGGCCAACCACACGCCTGAGGAGCCCGTCTACTTCGGGAAGCGCTTCAAGCCCTACGCCAAGCAGGGCTACATGAGTGGCGGGGCCGGCTACGTCCTCAGCAAGGAGGCCCTAAGGCGCTTTGTGGAGGGCTTCAGGACCCAGGTGTGCAGCCACACCACCTCGGTGGAGGACCTGGCCTTGGGCCAGTGCATGGAGAAGATGGGGGTGCGGGCGGGGGACTCCCGGGACGCCGCTGGGCGGGAGACTTTCCACCCCTTTGGGCCCGAATCCCACCTCACCGGGAAGTTCTCCAAGAGCTTCTGGTACTGGAAGTACTGCTACTATCCCATCGTGGAGGTACGTGACCGCCTGCCTGCCCCCCTCCCATGGTATCTTCTGGGCATGGGTGCCAGTGGCTGCGTTCCCTTCCCCTCCCCTGGGCCTGGGTTCCTGGGCTGCATTTATCACCCCCACCCCCCGTGGCATCCTCCGGGTGTCGGTGCCCAGGCTGAATTGAGGACAGGCCCTGCTGTTCTGGCTTCTCCGTGGCCAGGGAAGGTGGTTCCGTGGTTAAGGCTGGAGTGCCAGGTGCTCAGCCCGCAGGCCTCTAAGACACCCTGGCAGCACGTGGACCTAGGGAGCTGTCTGGGTCCCTGTGGTGGCCTCCTGTGGAAGGGGTGGGTCTCAGCCCAACGTTGGCTTGATCCCTGGGGCCTCTGGTAGTTTTCCATGCCCGGGCTCCTGTGGACGGGCAGCTCACAAAGTGTTGGGTGATCACGGTGCCCCGTGGAAGCCAGCGGAGAAGCGGGCAGAGTTAATAGCATTAGCCAGCCAGCGGTGCCGCCCCGAGGGGGGCCGGATCCTGGTCCAGAGCCGATGCCCCTTCTGCCCCCAGGGGAGCAGGCATGGAATTGGGGGCATGGGGGGGGAGGTCCAGCATGCTGCCTATTCGCTGTTCGTTGGAGGCCCCTGGCGGGATGATCCCGCGGCTGCACTGGGGGAGCAGCGGAGCCGGGGCATCTGCCAGCATCTGCCAGCATCGGGGATTCGAATAATTGGTGCTTAGCTACCACTGAGCTGCTGCTGCGGGAGCCCGTGGAGCTGCTTGCACCGGGGGGTGGAGGGGTGGGAAGGGGGGATCTCTATTGGGGCTGCTCCTCCTGCCCCATTCACACCCCTTTGCATGGCTCGGGGCCTCTCCCATTAACCCTTCCCCTCCCACGCTCCGCAGGGCCCCCAGTGCTGCTCCGACCTGGCCATCTCCTTCCACTACGTGAACCCCGAGCTTATGTATACCCTGGAGTTCCTGACCTACCACCTGCGGGCCTATGGTTACCGCTACCGCTACCAGCCGCCCCTGCCGGAGAACGCCGCTCGCCTGCTGCAGCGCCAGGGCTGGCCGAAGGCGGCCAACGCTACGCTGCTGGTGCAGGGCACCAAGAAACTGTAGTGGGGCTGGGAGGAGGCGGTCGGTCCGGGATCGGGCTCTGTGCCTGATGTGGGGCTGGCGTCCTGGGCGAGCCATGGCCAGGAGCCACGGCCACGTGGCAGCCCCTGAACTGGATGATGGAGGGGGCTGTCTCGGGCTAGCTGCCATCCCAGTTGGCACTAACTGCCCCCCTTGCTGGTAGAGGGGCAGAGGGACCCCCCATAGAGGGTCCTCTCCAGGGCAGGGGCAGGCCTGGGGTGAGGGGTTCAGCCTCCTGGCCCGTGTCTCTGATGCCACGCTCCTGCCCTGGCCCCATCCAACAGACCCAATCCCTAGGAGATGCCCGGAGCCCAACCAATGGTGACTTGGGGAAGGGGAGGCTGGAGCTACATTTGGTGGTGAGGGAGGGTCCTCGCACCCTCCCCTCCCCTCCCTCCACAGTCAATAGGGCAGGGTCACAAGGCACAGGGAAGATGAGGCAGGTAGTCCAGGCCACTGAGGGGCCTTTCGGGCTCTGTCTGATGGGCCCTTCCAGGAGGGGATGAGTCTGGATCAGTCCATGGAAGGCTTTATAATGGGGGCAGCAGCCATCTTCCCTCCCCCCCCCCACTGCCCAGGGGGGCCTGAAGGGTGTGAGGTCTGAGGAAGGCACATGGGGGAAAGGAAGCGGGCAGGTTTCCCATTGTGGGGGGAGGGGGAGGAGCTGAGAAGCCATGATGAGGGGCACATGGGGTGGCATGTGATGGTGGCGGCAAGCAGTTCTGGGAGCAGGGTCTGGCTGGGCTGGAGAGAGGCCCTTGGCAGTGGGGACGAAGGGGTGGGCGGGCATGCGAGAGGCAGAAGCGCTGCCCTTGGCTAGAGGTGCACGGCGCCCAACCAATCGCAAATTGTGGGTGGAGAAAAACCCCGTGGCAAGCCACGGTCAATACCACTAAATGGCGAGGGGGCCAAGGGTGATACCACCGCCTCCAGGTTTGGCTGGAGCCCTGCCACGGATCAGTCCACTGCATGGGGAGGGGGCCATGGGCAATACCACCACAGGCTGAGCTGGAGCCCTGCCACAGATCGTACCACTATGGGTGAGCAGGCCATGGATCATACCACTGCATGGTGAGGGGGCTATGGCCGATACCACTGCCAGCTAAGCTGGAGTGCTGCCAGGGATCAGACCACTGCAGAGTTAGGGGGCCACAGGCTGAGCTGGAGCCCTGCCACGGATCATACCACTGCACGGCAAGCAGGCAATAGATTGTACCACTGTTGGGTGATGGGGCCAAGGATCGTACCACTTTGGGGTGAGCAGGAACCCCGCAGCAGATGGCACCACTTCACAGCTCACACGTGGCTTGTGAAATGCCCGTGGCAGCCCCCTCCCCCCCCCCGTGGTGCACTGGAGCAGGGGGTCTCATCACTGTCCTCATGGGAGAATCAAGGGGCGAATTGGGCTTTGGGGTGAATAAACGCTGCTTTGGTTTTTGTAAAGAAATGGTCTGGTTTTAGCTTCCCTGCTCCGGGGCCCTGCGGCTGGGTCCGGGCTCTGGCTACGTAGCAGTGCCCAGGGCTGAGCGGGTGCTGACCGCGGTGCCCACAGGGCCCAGCTACGCCCAGCCCCAATGGGTGGGTTGAGCCCAGCCTGGGGGCACCTGCACTCGCCAGTCAGCGCTGACTCCTCGGCGTGGCAGTGGGGTGGGGCGCCCATGCGAGAGGGGGCTAGAGTAGGCCAGAGAGGCTGTTCAGGCCGACAGCCAATCAAGAAAGGGCTCGCTGAGAGCCAATCAGGGCTCAGCTTGGCCCTATATAAAGGCTGCCCAGACAACCACCAAGCAGTGGGTCCCAGGCCTTTGACAGGGGAAGGTCAGTCTCCAGAGCTGGGAGACTAGCACCTGGACAGCGCAGTGCTGGCCAGGCTTGGGGAGCAGAAGGGAGCTCTAGCCCGTAGCCTGCCAGGCTGCAGGCCCTGAAGGGAAGGGCCTAGTGGGTGCAAGGGGCTGTAGGGGATCCGGCCCAAGGAAGCGGACAGATGAGGGGGGAGGAGGAGGACGGCGAGGCTGCCGCCAGAGGGTCTCTGGGCTGGGACCCAGAGTAGAGGGCAGGCCTGGGTCCCTCCCCTTGCAGTACACCGAGCCATCGGCCGTAGGGAGCAGCCATCATAGACAACACCAGATCCCCGACGAGGGATTAGACTTTGGGGTGTGTGATTGGACATGGTGGCTGGGGCATAGAGAGACTACTGATTTCCCCCCCCCCCCCCAGAAGGGGGTGTGGATGGACTAAGGGCATAGCCGGAGGGCAGTTGTCCTGAAGAGGATACCGCGAGCTGGAGAGTGGCGTGGGCTCAGACGCCAACCAAGGGCGGGACACCACTAGGAGAGGGCGCTCCACTGGACTGAGCTAATTCCCGGAGACAACCAGCCGGAGGCAAGTCCCAAACCTGTCACAGGCAGGGTCAGAGCAGGCGGCTGCTGGCATCTTGGTGGGGCTTGGGGCTGCATACAGGGCAGGGGGACTTGGCTGGCGGGGTGCGGGCAGGGGCCCTGAGGCTGATCAGCGCCAGGCGGGACAGGTTTCCTGCACCCACTTTGTGGCTGGGGTCAGAATCCAGGTGTGACAAACTGGGACTGTTCTTACTGTGGTCTGTGAATGCTGACGGGGAGTGTGGCTGGGATAGTCTGCATCGTATGTAACATGAGAACCCAGGAAGGGGTTAGAGGCCAGGTGACACCTTGGCCCGGGAAACTGAACAAAGGCTGGGGGGAGAGTTCAGAGCTGGCTGGTGACGTGGCTGGGAGGCAGATGGGGCTCTGACCTCCCAAGGGGGCTGGGGTGCCCTGGGACCCCAAGATGCACCTAACTGGGGGGGATCCTGTTGTCTGTGCCTGCAAGACCTGTCTTGGACTGTGTTCCTGTCGTCTAAATAAACCTTCTGCTTTACTGGCTGGCTGAGAGTCATGGTGAATCGCAGGAAGCCTTGTGCCCCCCCACTCTCCGTGACACCAGGCTGTGGCTCCGGGTGCTTGCTCGGGCTCCCCCACACCGGGCTGAGGTGTTTGCACAGCAGGGTCTGAGCTGGATAGCCAGGGGCCTGGTGCTGGAGCCCAGCCTTCGCAGGGCAGCCTTCGCGCCAGAGATGTGGCGACATTAACCCCTTGCCTCCCAGAGTTGAGTCCACCTGCGCTTTGCAATGCGGGGATGACGTCATGGCCCAAATGCAGCTGGCTCTGTGTGACGTTGCTCTCTGTCGGCTTTATGAAAATACGCTTATGAGTGTGAACATGATGTAACTGGAATATGCTTTACGCAAAAGGTCTCTTGTAAGGTATCATTACAAAGCTTATGTCACGGAATCACAGGATGTGCCCACTCTTGGCTCCGTGCGGTCCATGGGGGGGGAACCCCCTTCAGTGAGACAGCCCACTTGCTCTGGACCCCTGGGACCTCCACTCCCAGAGGGAATAATGGCCCCTGTTCTCTAGACTGGAGTGACGCTCAGCCGGCATAAAACAGGAGGGGTTATTGAGCTGAACACAGCACAGGAAACTCTCAGGCTTGGGCCTCAGAGCTGGTCCTCAGCACAGCACATCCCAGTCTCCCCAGCATCCAGGTGGGCTCTGCCTGCTCCCCCCTCCAGCCCCGAATCCCCCCTGCTTCCCAGCTGGGCATCTGATATCACTGGCCCCAAGCCCCGCCTCTGTCCATTGGCTTCTCTCCAGGTAAACAGGGTCGCCTGGGCCCCCTCTCCTCTCTTCTGTCCTCTGGTCAGGTCACCGGGGTCCTCTCTTCGCAGCCCATTGTCGTCCCACTGGCCAGAACCGGCTGCGACTCCTGAGCTGAGCCTCCTGGGGTCTCCATTCTCCCGGGATCCCAAGTTCCCTCGCTGGTCCTCTGTAACAACAAACTCCCTCTCCCATCACATCGTTAAACCAGTAACACCCAGGGAAACTGAGTCCCACGCCCACTGCGTGCAAACCATTGGAAAACAAGAAAATCCCACACTTCGTCACTACGTCACAGCTTAGAAGAAGAAGATATAAACTTGTATTACTGATGTAAACGTATTAAGTGGAAGCCATTAAGGGTGCTTCTATAAATAGCCCTGTTTACTTGCAAACCTTCCTGTGTATGTGTGGGTCAGCCCAGGAACTGTGGGGTCTCAGGACATGTGACCATGTCACATGATACTAAAATCCATCTGTGACGTGCAGTCTATATGGTTTTATAAAAACATGATAAGTGAATATAATGTAACTGGGATAGTTTTAGAAAAATATGGTAAAAAGTGAATATAACATAACTGGGATGTGCTTCATGCAAAAGGTCTCTTATAAGGTATCATTACAAAGCTTATATTCTACTGAGTGTGATCATCCAATTTGTATAAATGTACCACTCTTGTATCTAAAACTAGAAATATAAAATATAACTCTGAGGGCCTATTGTAATTATGTACAGTGTGGGTCATTAATGATGGTTTGGAATCTTGATGACTCCCATTGTCTGCAGATGGTTGTGTTTACCTGTGAGTCTTCTGGTATATGTGTGTGCTGGCAAGTGAGTAATGAAGTCTTGCAGTGACATGTGATCATGTCACCTGAACTGGAATCCATCTTTAACCTGGTGCTTTTCCAGTGAGGGGGGGGTGGAAACCCAGAGGGATAAAGGGTTTCCGCCTTATGCAAAAGATATATAAAGGGGTGGAAGAGAACAAAGGAGAGAGAGGAGCCATCATGAAGAATCCCCTAGCTATCACCTGAGCTGCAACAAGAGCTGTACCAGGGGAAAGAATTGTGCCCAAGCCTGGAAGGTGTCCAGTCTGAGAAAAACTTACTGAAACATCTCTGAGGGTGAGATTATCTGTATTCAGTTTGATTAGACATAGATTTGCGCATTTTATTTTATTTTACTTGGTGACTTACTTTGTTCTGTCTGTTACTACTTGGAACCACTTAAATTCTATTTTCTGTATTTAATAAAATCACTTTTTATTTAGTAATTTACTCAGAGTATGTATTAATACCTGGGGGAGCAAACAACTGTGCATATCTCTCTATCAGTGTTATAGAGGGCGAACAATTTATGAGTTTGCCCTGTATAAGCTTTATGCAGGGTAAAACGGATTTATCTGGGTTTGGACCCCATTGGGAGTTGGGCATCTGAGTGCTAAAGACAAGCACACTTCTGTCAGCTGTTTTCAGGTAAACTTGCAGCTTTGGGACAAGTGATTCAGACCCTGTGTTACCGAAATATCGGGTCCACCTAGCTGAGAGCCAATAACAGCCAGACCGGGATAAGGAAGAGTTGCTTTATTCTGCAGAAGAAAGGAGAGCTTTGCACCTTGGTACAAAAACTCTGTCTTACACACATTTTACAGATCCTTTATATATATTCAGACAAAGGTCCTTGCAGTGTTAACACTTGATTGGTGGTTGTCAGACCCGTGCTTTTGCTATCTGGTCAGTGAAAACCGGCTTGGGACCAGCTCCAACTACCTTAAGGCCTTGAAGGGAAGACGGTTGAAAAGTTCAGGCTACTGTGTACTTGAAGTGTCTGCTTCCCCCTAATGGCCACTGGTTGACATAAAGGCTGCTCTGTTAAGGGGGGGTCACTAGTAACTTTCACACCTGGGTCTGTGTTGGGGCAGACGGGAGTGTCTGGCTCAGCAAGACGGAGTGCTGGAGTCCTGAGCTGGCAGGGAAAACAGGAGCAGAGGTAGTCTTTGCACATCTGGTGGCAGCTCCCAAGGGGGTTTCTGTGATCCAACCTTTCACACCATCATAAAACTGGTACTTTACCATTTAGAAGGAAGGGTGGGGACTGAGAGATTCCCGCCTTATGCCAAAACTATAAAAGGGGGTGGAGCAGAGCAAAGGAGGCCAGTCCTGAGAAAACCCCTGCTTACCACCGGAGATGTCTGCTGGAACTAACAAGGACTGTACCGGGGAAAGGATTGGGCCCAGATGAGGAGGGAGTCTAGTCCGTGAAAGAAGCTTATTGGAACATCTCTAAGCGTGAGATATTACCTATAATCAGTTTCTTAATGTATTAGGCTTAGACTTGGGTGTTTTTGCTTTATTTTGCTTGGTGATTTACTTTGTTCTCTCTGTTATTACTTGAAACCACTTAAATCCTACTTTTTATACTTAATAAAATCACTTTTGTTTATTAATGAACCCAGAGTACGTGATTAATACCTGGGGGAGCAAACAGCTGTGCATCTCTCTATCAGTGTTATAGAGGGGGGACAATTTATGAATTTACCCTGTATAAGCTTTATACAGAGTAAAACAAATGTATTTGGCGTTTGGATCCCACTGGGAACTGGGTGCCGGAGAGGTAACCTGCTGAGCTGTGTTTGGTTCAAGTCTGCAGCTTTGGGGGCATGGCCCAGACCCTGAGTCTGTGTCGCGGTAGGCAGGGCCGTTCTTACCCATAAGCAAAGTATGCAGCTGCGTGGGGCACCAAGTTTCCTGGTGCCCTGCGCAGCTGCGT